CTCTATTTCTGTCTCTTGCTGAGCTTCTGCCGCAGGCTCTTGTGCTGGCTGGGGTCTCTCCTCCTTATCCTTGTTGTGGGGAAGGGACGGCTCTCCAGCAAGTGGGGTATCCCTCTTGCCTATGTCTCACACAAAGGTTCCTAGTTCACAAACCCAAGGCTAGTAGTGTGAAATTTAGCATGTCTACAGTCCTCTTTTCATTGAATTGCAATGGGTATATATTGTCCTAGATCAAATGGAGATCCATTCCAAAGCCCTGAATTGGGGAACCTGAGAAAACCTCTAGTTTTATTAGACCTCTTCAGCATCTATTTCTGAATTTCTATAGCCTGGGATCAGTCATTACCCAGTTGTGTAACTTTTCCGATGCATTTTGGAGGGCCCAGAATATAATGAATGGTAATTCTGAGGTTGCAAGCCTTTGCTACTGTGGGAACAGCAATTGGAGATTTGCACTTGTTTGTTCTCTAGTATAATGTACCAGAAAGTAACTGGCTTGTGTGTGATTTCTTTTAAGGCTTTGAAACAGCAAATTGCCACCTTGCAGGGAGATTTAAAAAGAAGAGAAACTAAATGGTCAACTACCCACACGCGTCTTACAGATCAAATAGAGACCTTAACCAGAGAGAATATGCAACTAAGGGAAGAGATCAAAATCATGGAAAGATGCCGTTTGGAGGCTTGGAAGAGGAACGAAGTTTCAGCAAACAAGAAGAAAATGGACAGCTGTAGTTCTACAAAGAAAGCAGAATTAGCAGTAAGTTGGGGAGAACTGGTGTGCAGTAGTTAGTGTCATGTAAAGACTGGGAGGATTTAGATTTAAAACTGTACTCAGCCGTGATACTGAACTTGGGTTAGCTATTACCTCTGAGCCAGAGCTGGTGCATAGGGTTCATATGAACCGCCAACACCTCTTGAGCTGCTTGTGAAAAAAGTAGAATTGCTTCTTTAAAGTGTCTCTTAACTGACTGGGCAACAAATCCACTATACAGTGATGCCTCGCAAGACAATCGCCTCGCGGGACGAAAAACCCGCAAGACGATTGGTTTTTGCGATCGCTATGGTGCCTCGCAAGATGGCTTCTTCTATGGCCGTGCTTTGCAAGATGTTTGCCCCCCCCCGCCCCCGATGCCTCACAAGAAGAAAATTTTCATTCATCTTGCGAGGTTCCCATAGGAATGCATTGCAGTGCATTCCTATGGGAAACCGCTTTTCGCAAGACATTTTTTTGCAAGACAGTGCTTCTCACGGAACGAATTACATTTGTCTTGCGAGGCGCCACTGAATCTAGCTTTTTAAAAAATTACTGGAAAAATAGTTCTTGTCCCAGTTTGAGAATGAATGACTCAAAAAAGGGGAGTAGCATTTGGACAATCTTCACTGTGTAAGCAAGGTGACTTTGTATGATAGATACTATTGAGCTGTTGGACTGGTTTTTTTCTTGTAGGCCAGATTTTTATTAGCAGCAGTTAAGGAGGATGATTAGAATGGGACCATCAGAAGACTTGGGAAGCTAAGCAGAAATAATGTAATTTTTGAGCACAAAATCTCCACTGAAAAATACCTTCATTCCTAAAGTTTTCATGATTGTGTATTACAGTACAGGTCTCTTGCTTAGTCATATTTGAGATTGTGTTTGAGTGCCTAGATGCTGTAAGCTAAATATTAACATATATCATAGTATCTTGATTTTTAGGGGTACTGTCATGCTGTAAATGGTTAAATCTTACTTTGAAAAAGTAGACTCGAAATGTAAAATTACTTTATTTGTAGGGGAAAAACCCACCTTGGATATTACCATAGAGTTTTAATAATATTCTCAATAAACTGCTGTGTTTCGGGTTTTTTCTTTTCTTTTAGCATTCAGCAGCTGTATTGCAAAAAAGCCAAACAATGTCTTCAGTTCCTCAAGCAGAAAAAAACAGCAAAATAAATGGCAAAAATGATTCTCAACCAGAAGGTAAAAATATATGCTTAAAGGAAACAGCAGACTATAGAAATTCTATTTTTGGTCTATACTTTGCAGACTCCAGTAGGTAGCTCATTTGTTTGATCTTACTTCCCCCAACTAGCAATTTTCTTTTGATTTTTCACTTTTGTTATTTGGTGTATAGGGCTGCATCAAAGTTGGCTTGAGTAGCTTTACTCATGTAAAAGTTCTGTTTGCAGTTTTCAAATACAGTCATGTTAGTCTGTTTCAGAGAACAATGCTGGCAAAAGTTTACTTAGCAGATAAACTTTAGCAGATAAACAATTAATGTTTACTCTGATGTTATGAATGACATTATCGGAGCTTTTAATGGTTCTGCCAGAGCAGATGTAGAAATGCAGATGGCAACTTTTCACAGGGTCTTGATCCTGTCTCTTTATCCATGCTGTATGCCAACAGTTGTTTAAAACTGGGGTAAGGAAATTGTGTATAAATACAGCCCAGGCATCCAGAGTTTTGGAGGGGGCAATATTGAGCGACCAGAAGAGTTGCAGGTTGTGGATGATACTATATGTGCGCGCGATCTCATTTGGGAGGTGTAAGGTGACTACCATACGTCTTCTGTCATTTTCTCTTTGGGGTCTGCTTTAAGTAGTTTCTGTGTATCCATCTTGAGCTGTCAATTATTTTTTAATATCATGGAACTGGTATTGTGGTTTTATGGAATTACTGTTGTAAATCCATGAATTTTGAATCTGTTTTGTTGATCTCAGATGTGATAATATTGGGGAGTTTGTCTGGAATCAATTCTGTGTCGTGTTCAGAATGGAAGCTGGAGGCAGATCTGTGCAATGGCCTGTATGGCCATGTTGATACAGTGTTTAAATGTCCATTGTGTAGCTGTGTAGTGGTGGCTAAATGGTGTCCAAAAGGTGTACTTGTTAAGTAAATTAGTCTACACTCAGCTTAACGGGGGTGAAAATCACTGAAGTTTCAGTGTAATTCTCAATGATTACTTCCCAAGAGTCCAGATGATGAATATGTCATCAGTATATAGCAAGACAACATGTGAGGGTTCTGTTTCTGGGGCTGTCGGTACCTCTAATAAAGGACAAGACGGTGGTAACAAGTCAAACGGTTCTGTATTTATTGCAACGTCAACGTTGGGGGGGAAGGGGGTTCAAAAAGGGATTCTAAGTCTCTTGTAACTCCGTGCTCGACTTCAACGGTGTCCATAAACTGTTTATAAACAGGTTGGTGTTCTCCAAGTTCCATGGTCCTGTTAAAGGCTTCACAGCACCAGGAATGGGGTTCAATTCTTCTTCGAACATAATCAAGGGAATGGTTTCTTCATCCCCGCTCCAGTCCCCCCAAGACGACCCTTCTCCATCGCCAGCTATCCATGGCCTGGGAAACCCCCCAACTTCTGCAATTCGGCTATATGCCATGCCTTCTTTCTCTCTAACTCACAGGCAACCGCCTCTCGCTCCTCCCTTAGCTTACGCCTCCACTCCTTGGTCTCCGTTTCTCCCCAATACGAGGGACGAGGTTTAAGCCCTAGCTGCCTTCTCTTCTCATCCTCGTGTGGAACCCGCACCTGTTCCCACTTGTGGGTCCATGGATCCTCCATCCAGATCCATTCCCAACCACCCGGGATCTCTTCCCTCTTTTCCCTTATATCAGCAACTGCCGCTTCAGTCTCCTCCCCCCTCCTTCCCGCTAAAGTTCCTCCAGGTCCAGGGGCCAGGCTTAACTCTTTCACGACCGGCACCAGGTCACTGGTATCTACCCCTTTATTCTTTGTAGGTGGTTCGGAGAATTCTTTACCCCAGTCAGGGGTCTCCACTCCCTTCTCTTCCCGACGCGGTGGTGTAGGAGGTGGGGATGTTTGGGTGTGTTGGGCCCTCGACGGGAGCGACGGCACTCCTACCAAGGCCTCCATCTTGGAGGCCTCACACAACAGAGAAGCTTTTGTACATGAACACTGAGAAAGCATTGTTCCAGGTTGACCATGAATATGTTTGTGTTCTGTGGTATCATACATGCACCCGTAGTTGTGTAGTCGATCTGGAAATGTTATTGTGAAGTTGACGTGGTATGTAAATACAGAGTTGCTCATGTCCGCTAAAGTAGTGCCATCTGGTAGGTTGTAGATGTATTCTTGTTTGTTCAGTCAATCATTTGTATTCCTTACATACCTGGCTGCATTGTTGGCTTTTTTTTAACTGCTTGCAGGTGCCTTGGACCTATATACAGTGGTGCCTTGAATAGCGAGCACTTCAAATAGCGATGAAATTGAATAGCGATTAGTTTTTCGGGGCATTTTTTCACTTTGATTAGTGATGTTTCCTATGGGTGATTTTCAAATAGCGATGGTTGGAACATTCAACGGGGGGGGATCTGTTCTGGTGGCGCTCAAGAGTTAGAAGGCAAAAGAGGGGGCTCGGCAAGGGACGGAGGAAAGGAAGTAGGGCCAGGAATGGTGTCAGTGCCGAGGGAAAGGCGGAGAGTGGGGTGGGGTGTCTGTGTGGGGGGGAAATCTTACCTTGATGTACCGCCACGTTACAGCCATGCCCGTCACAGTACACCAGGGGGTTCTCTGCCCAGCCCCATTCATCAGAACAGACGCAGCAGCCACCCACCATCTCCATTCTTCCATAAGTTTCTTTTTTGCTGACTTCCACCCCACTACCCTCCTGTTGTGTTGCTGCTGGGGTGGTTGTTTCCAAACACACATTCACGCCTCACCGTCTTCTTTTTCTTCTTCTTCTTGTTTAATCCTGGGGGTTCTCGCTTCCTCCGATCCGCATTTCTTTTTATCTCTTGCTCTCTCTCACACACACATACACGCACACGCACACCAAACACCCCTAGGATGGGGGGAAGAAAAGGAGAGGGCGATAAAGAGGGCTCCCCCCAGGACCCAAATGCCACATTGTGATGTGCAGGCGAGAGCTCGGCAGCATTGCTGGCGCTGCTGGGCTGGAGCCGACGCGGTTCCTAGTCCCCATGCACGCACGCACACAAAACAGACACACTCTCGCAGGCAAGCGCGTGTGCACACACGCATACACGCACTCCGCTGAACGCGGGCTGAAATCATGCAGGCTCACCTCTTGCCGCCCCTGGCCTCCTCCAACAGCCCCTGGCAGCCGCCGCTGCCCTCCAAAGACCTGCAGCCCGAGGGGAGACAAACCAAGGCAAGCTGCTGGAGGGGAGCAGGAGAGCCTCAATCCGCCATGACTGCCTTCCAAGCAACAGGCATTGCGGCTTTCCCGGCACCACCAATTCCCCCCCTTCTTGGTTTCCCTCCTTTAGATAAAAAAACTCTCAGAACTCAGATTTTTTTCCCCCCATTGAGATGTATTGAATAGGTTTCAATGCATTTCAATGGGGAAACCGTTTTGAATAGCGATATTTCCTATGGAGATTTTTGAATAGTGACGGCAATTCGTTCCTATTGGAACGGATTAGCCGGCTTTCAATGCATTTCAATAGGAAACCGCATTTCAAATAGCGATGAAATCAATTAGCAGTGTTTTTTGCGGAATGCATTAACATCACTAATCGAGGCACCACTCTCTGTGTGTGTGTGTGTATTCTTAATCTCTTTCAAACCAATAGTCACCTCTTCACTCTGCAAACACCATTTTCTGTTCTTACTGTACAGCGATAATCCTTTTGATTCAGAAGATTCTTGTTTCTGAGCAAATCAAAGTACAATAAAATTGAGGAAGAAATCACTTGGATTCTCCTGAATTTTTTTCTAGAAAAAACATGTTTCTTTCATTTTGTATTGACTGTGTTAAAAATGTGGCAAATCCAGTTACTGACAAAAATGTAGATTTATAGAGTTATGTTTGTACTTATGAAGTTTTGGTAAATTACAAAATAAATAAAATCAAAACTAATTATTTTTAAATTATTATTCACTTTTTCTGAATTTAGAGGAGTGCATCCCTATGTAATCAAAAAGGCAGATACAGTGGGGTCTCTACTTAAGAACGTCCCTACTTAAGAACAGCTCCATTTGCTAAATTTTGCTTCTACTTGAGAACAGAAATCCAAGATAAGAACAGGAAAAAAAAACTTTCCTGCTCTTTTTTTAACCTTAGGTCATCTTAGGTTAAAAAAAATTTCTCCCCCTAGTGGTAGAGTACGTATTAACCAGCTTTGCATTAGTTCCTATGGGAACTAATGCTTCAATGTACGAACGCACCTCTACATAACAAAAAAACAGCCAGAACGGATTAATTGGTTTTCAGTCCATTCCTATGGGAAATTTTGCTTCAACTTAAGAACGTTTCAACTTAAGGACACCATTCCAAAACGGATTAAGTTCTTAAGTAGAGGTTCCACTGTAGTTTCTATGGACGGAAAAGAGCAGATACGGATTAAATGGTTTTCAATGCATTCCTATGGGAAATGCAGATTCAACATAAGAACTTTTCAACTTGAGAACCGCCTTCCAATACAGATTAAGTTCTTAAGTAGAGACCCCACTGTAACACTGCAGGTAGCACTAGATCAGTTTCCCCAAGGAAGTAATGGTGTGTGTACTCTACTGTGTGTAGGGGGCCTGGGTATGTTTCTCCATTTCTATATTAATAGAGGTACAGCTTGCTATTCAAGGGGCTAGTAAAATACTTTGTTTCTTGAAAAGTGCAGGGATAGCAAGTCAGAGTTCAAATACCTTATTTATGAGACTTGGTCCTAAAAGCAGAGCTTGGAAAAGTTAGTTTTTTGAAGAATCCTATCCCCAGGCCACATGACTTGTGGCTATTAACTGTTTCATATGTAGTGCAAAAAGCTTTCCTGATACTAACGGCTTCTTAGCTTAAAATGGAATATACTTTTTAAAAAGTATTGTTTATGTGTGTGTACTGCTGTTACTTCTGAAATAGACTGCCAATGAATTATTTATTTATTTATTAAATTTATACCCCGCCCATCTAGACACAAGTCTACTCTGGGGGCTAACATTAAAAATAGAATAAAAACAGTATAATAAAATAAAAAGGAACAATAGTAATATGGTTCAAGATGGGGAAAAATAATTTATAAAAAATTAAATGGCAGTAATTCCACCAGCCGCCTAAAGTGGTCGTTTGACTAGATAGGCGGGGTATAAATGCAATAAATAAATAAATAAATAGTTCTTGTGTCTCAGATTACTAAACATATATGTAACTAACATTTAATTTAAAGTACATTCCTATCCATAATTTCCTTGTATTTTGAGTTAGAAATCGGGTGAGGTGCGTGTGAGTACTTCTTGAGTCAGTATATAAAGAAATGTAAACTTTACAGACCTACATTTTCATTCTGATTTTAAAACAGAAAGGCCCTTGGGAAAACCCAAACCACCAGCTGTACCTGATGAAATGGCCTTGGACAATACAGGAAAGCCTTCTGAAGAATCTTCCAAAACTTTTATGGTAGTAAGTAAATTAGGAGAATGGTGTCGTTTTCCTAGTTTGAGAGAAGACTGGTAGTTAATTGGTGAGCAAGACTGGCCCAAGAACAACCACTTAGTTTGATACAACACATTTTCACTATCCTAGTAGTCTTCATGGATTGCTGCCTTGTTGTGGCGAAGGGGCTTGAGTAATTCAAAGAAGCTATGGGCTATGCCATGCAGAGACACCCAAGATGGACAGGTCATAGTGGAGAGTTCTGACTAAACACAATCCATCTGGAGCAGGAACTGGAAAGCCACTCCAGTATCTTTGCCAAGAAAACTCCATGGACAGAAACAAAAGGCTAAAAAATATGACGCTGGAAGATGAGCCCCTCAGGTTGGAAGGCGTCCAACATGCTACTAAGGAAGAGTGGAGGACAAGTACAAGTAGCTCCAGAGCTAATGAAGGGGTTGGGCCAAAGCCGAAACGACGCTCAGCTGCGGACATGCCTGGAAGTGAAAGTCAAATCTGATGATGTAAAGAAAAATACTGCATGGGAACCTGGAATGTTAAGATCTATGAACCTTGTTAAGCTGGATGTGGTCAAACAGTAGATGGCAAGAATAAACATAGACATCCTGGGCATCAGTGAACTAAAATGGATGGGAATGGGTGAATTCAATTCAGATGATTATTATATCTACTATTGTGGGCAAGAATCCCATAGAAGAAATTGAGTAGCCCTCATAGTCAACAAAAGAGTGGAAAAAGCTGTACTGTGATACAATCTCAAAAATGATAGAATTATTTCAATATGAATCCAAGGCAACCTTCCAACATCACAGTCATCCAAGTTTATGCACCAACCACCGATGCTGAAGAGGCTGAAACTGACCAATTCCATGAAGACTTACAACACCTTCTAAAACTGACACCAAAGAAAGATGTTCTTGTCATTATAGGGGACTGGAATGCTAAAGTAGGGCGTCAAGAGATAAAAGGAACAACAGATAACTTTGGCCTTGGAGTTCAAAACGAAGCAGGGCAAAGGCTAATAGTTTTGTCAAGAGAACAAGCTAGTCATCACAAACTCCTTTCCAACAACACAGAGACGACTCTACACATGGACATCACCAGATGGGCAATACTGAAATCAGATTGACTATATTCTTTGCAGCCAAAGATGGAAAAGCTCTATACAGTCAGTAAAAACAAGACCTGGAGCTGATTGTGGCTCTGATCATCAGCTTCTTATAGCAAAACTCAAACTTAAACTGAAGAAAGTAGGAAAAAACATTGGGCTGGTCAGGTATAATCTAAACCAAATCCCTTATGAATACACAGTGGAACTGAATAACACATTTACGGAACTAGATTTGGTGGACAGAGTGCTTGGAGAACTATGGATGGGGTGGAAAATAACAGGGAAAAATCAGAGATCTGTTTAATAAAACTGGAGATATTAAAGGAACATTTTGTGCAAAGATGGACATGATAAAGGACAAAAATGGTACAGACCTAACAGAAGCAGAAGACATCAAGAAGAGATGGCAAGAATACACAGAAGAATTATACCAGAAAGATCTGGATGTGCCTGACAACCCAGAGGGTGTGGTTGTTGACCTTGAGCCAGACATCCTGGAGATTGAAGTTAAGTGGGCCTTAGAAAGCTTGGCTAACAACAAGGCCAGTGGAGGTGATGTCATTCCAGTTGACAAACCTAGACAGTATCTTAAAAAGCAGAGACATCACCTTGCCAACAAAGGTCCATAGCTGAAACTATGGTTTTTCCAGTAGTGACTAATGGAAGTGAGAGCTGGACCATAAAGAAGGCTGACCGCTGAAGAATTGATGCTTTTGAATTGTGGTGCTGGACTGCAAAGAGAACAAACTATCCATTTTGAAGGAAATCAACCCTGAATGCTCACTGGAAGGACAGATCTTGAAGCTGAGGCTCCAATACTTTAGCCATCTCATGAGAAGACTCCATGGAAAAGACCCTGATGTTGGGAAAGTGTGAAGGCAAGAGGAGAAGGGGACAACAGAGGATGAGATGGTTGCGCAGTGTCACCGAAGCTACCAACATGAATTTGCCCAAACTCCGGGAGACAGTGGAAGACAGGAGGGCCTGGCGTGCTCTGGTCCAAGCGGTTATGAAGAGTCAGACATGACGTAACGACTAAACAGCAAAGTATTCTTTAAAGAGCTTCACTTCCTCTGCCTCTCAAATGAGCAGAGGAAATATTTAACTTGCCAATGTCCAGTAATGGCTCACTTATTAAACCATTCCTGATATTGGCAAATTGAAAGAGGAAGGCTTGTTTTGGATGGAAGAGATCCAAGCAGTGTAATCTTATTCACCCCAAAGTAGAAGCCAGTGACGGGCCCAGAAAGGTATGAATAGGACTGTTCTGCACGTGAGCCAGTTCACTTAGCAAAGATGTTGTCTGATTGCTTTCTTTAAGAGGGAACCAGCTCTTCCCTGCAGCCGACCAAAGAGCCCACATAGTCATCCTCTGAGTGTACTCTAAATATGCTTAAGTCTGACTCTAACCTGTCGGCTCCATGGTTCCTCTGGTGATGTGCCATTGTGTTCCACGCTAGTGAGGTTTCTACTCTAGACTAGAACCACTAGAGTATGTCCCTGCAGCTTTCCCATTTACAAAGGAAAAAAGGAATTTAAAAAAAAAATGACCATTTAGTGTGCACAGGAATAGTTTCCCCCTTAAGAAATTTTAAATGGAATTCTTCTTCTGCTTCAGAATTTACCTGGTAACAGACTTGTTGAACCGGCATGTGTACTAACTGCTGATTCTTCAGACAATGAAGATGCAATGTTAGAGAGAGAAGCAAATCATCCTGACGGAAAGGTAAGGTTTTCCTCTAAAGAATTCCAGAACGCAGTACTCCTCCTGGTGTACCATGGATGCGCCCAAGCACCTCATTCGTTGCTATTCATCTGCTTGGAGAATGCAAATTTATGCTGCTTTACTTAATATTCAGAATGTGGTTTAAAGTACCCTTGCCATTTAATAGCGAAGTCAAGATGTGACTTAAATTTAAGCAATGCAGATTTTCCATGTTGGCTCAATTGACTCACCAACAGTTCTTGATTTCCCACTCTTAGGAGCTTTTGTATTGAACTTGGGCAATATTTGAAAGTAAAGAATTACAAATACAGTGGTACCCCGCATAGCGACGATAATCTGTTCCAAAAAAATCGTCGCTATCCGGATTCGTCGCTGTGCGGGGCAAAACCCCCCCCCATAGGAATGCATTAAAACACGTTTAATGCGTTCCTATGGGGGAAAAACTCACTGCTACGTGGAAAGCCTCCATCTGGCCACCATTTTCGCTGCCCGGTAAGCGAGGAAAGGGCGCAAAAACAGTGGGCAGCCATTTTTTCCGGTGGCCATTTTGGAACCGCCGATCAGCTGTTTTTAAACATCGCAATGCGAAAATCGGTAAGCGAAACGCTTACTGATCATCGCAATGCGATTTTTTGCCATTATAAACAACAATGTGATCACTTTTGTGATCGCAAAAACCAAATCGCTATGCGGATTCGTTAACTGAGGCGCTTGCTATGCGGGGCACCACTGTATTTAACTTCTTTTTAGATAACAGCAGAACTAGTAGTTATATGTTGTATATAGTGTTTGCTATTATCTGCAATTTCAGGCACCCACAGTAGATTGTGGAACTGATTTCCCCCCGCATGGAGAGGGTTTCTACTATATACATTTTAGGTGTAGCAAATTAAACCTAGGGTGGCGACCAGATAGGCGGGATAGAAATAAAATAAATAAATAAATAATAAATAAATATATATGTTGTATAGTGTTTGCTATTATCTGGAATTTCAGGCATCCACAGTAGATTGTGGAACTGATTTCCCTCCGCATGGAGAGGGTTTCTACTATATACATTTTAGGTGTAGCAAATTAAACCTAGGGTGGCTGAATAGCTTAGTGGTTTAAGTCTGTGGCTGCTGAGTGAGAGGTTGGAAGTTCAATTCCCCACAGTGCCTCCTGCAAATAGAGACAGTCTGTGTGGCTTTGGGCAAGCTGTCCCAGGATACCCCCAGAAGAAGGGAACAGTAAACCACTTCTATTTTCTACCTGGAAAATCCTGACAAGTGTCTCAGTAAGTCAGAATTGCCTTGAAGGCACACAGTTAATTAAAAGTTACACCTAAGAACGAAGGTACAGAACACAGCTCAGTGGTTTAGATCTCTGGCTACATCTGGAAGTTGAGTCATGGCAACTGGATTTCTTTCTTATTAGGCTGAAACATTTCACTATTCATCCAAGTAGCTTCTTCAGTCTGAGGAGAGTTGGCAGGAGACCCTTGATATATCTGTCTTCAGAGTCTGAGGTTGGGAGTTCAATTCCCCACTGGGCCTCAATAGGGGGAGATTCAATGATCCATAGGATACCTTCCAGCTTTGCAGTTCTGAGATGATGATGAACTGGCATAGCTCAGTGCCTGGCTGTAACGAAGACACCTAGGTACTCTCAAATGTTACTTTTAAAGGACCTTTTCAGACTTTTTTTCAAGTACTATGTTCTCTCATCCAAGTTGGGAATGAGGCCCTTTTGCTTAAAGCCTTTTATTTTTTGTAAATATTTACATGGTGCAATAACAGAACTGGTCGCTACAGGAAATAAAAATATTTTCCTGACCTGCACATAATCATAATGCAGCATGCTGATACTGTTGAACACAACAAATTATTTGCATGATCAGAGCAACAAGAACATTAACCTAACTGCTAAGAAGTAATGACTAAAGCAACAAGTTCCTTTTAAATTTTAATGAAATGAAATCTAGATTTGTTAGACCCCATTGCATAGAGGAAGGAAGAGGGTCCTAAGCTGGACTGTATCTTAGAGCAGCAAAACCAAATTCACGGCCTTCTATGTCTCTGAAGTACATAAAATCCTGAACTTAACTCAGACACAACAGTTGTAGTGCTTTAGCAGAGAAGAAAACCCTTGAAGGTGAAGCTAGATTGGGATGAAGGAATAGAAGATGAGATAAAAACCAGATAGGAGGTAAACTCTGCAGACTCCAGTCAGGATAGCTGCAAAGAACCAGGTCAGAGCAAGAGTTGCCAGGCATAACCAAACAAGCATAACAGCAACCAACAGATATGTCTAAGAAAAGAAAGTTACAATTACATACCTTCAACTACACAGAACAAAATCCCATTGAGACAGAATGATTGAAAAATACAGCCTGGAAGATTTCCTCAGGCCTTGTAGAGTTTGTGCTAAGTATATCTGATTATTTTCACAGCAGATATTGAAGGAAACATTTGGCTTGTATGATTCCCATTACTGAAGGTAGAAACTTCGGAGATGTGTGAGGGTTCTAAGTGTGGCTCTAAATTTACTCCAAATAAATCACCAGATTTCTTAGGTTTTGCAATAGGGGTAACATTTATTGGATTATTTAATAACAGTCCAGCATCAACGAACGTGTTCCAAGCTTTCTCCCCATCAGACAACCGGGGGTTTCCAATCTTCAAAGGGTTTCCGCTCTGAACATTCCAAGGACCGGGCCACTCAGGCGGGTTGTCCAGGTTTAATAATAATCCTTCCTCTCCTTCCATTGGGGGTGGGGTGGTGTCCTCCTCTCGAAACACACACACAGTCACACTCCCAGACAGGTTTCCCCCGTCTGCCATGGGGTCTCTCGATTCCCCTCCGATACATCTCCCACAGCCTTCATTCCAACCTCTCTCTCCACTCCCTCTCAACCTTCTCTTCCTTTAACTTCTTCCGCCACTCCTTTGTCTCTTTCTTACCCTAATATGATGGATTGGGAGCGAGTTCTCTCCTCCTCCGTGCATCTGCTTCTTCCTTTGGAACCCTTAGCTTTTCCACTTGACCCGTCCAAGATTCTTCTATCCAAATCCATTCCCAATTACCCAGTAACTTTCCTTCTCCTCCTTTTATCACCCAATCCTGCCTCCACTACTTCCTGCCCTTTTTCTCCCACATCCGCCAAGAGGGTCCCGGTCTCTTTAACCGTTAGTTAGCCACCTAGAGTGGTCTTAATTGACTAGATAGGCGGGATATAAATAAAATAAATAATTATAATAATAATTCGTTTAAACCCTTCTTTATGTTCCCCGGTCTGGTCTGGGGGGTCCTGTCTTCCTGGGTGGGGGAACTGGCGGGGGTCTTTCTTTCTCAGTGGTTGGCGGGAGGGCTGGCACTCCTGTGAGAGGGGTGGGTCTCTCTCTCACTTCTGGTCTCACAAGGTGTCTCCCATACTCAAGAGAGTGTATTTGCATATAGGCAGGCCTAATTTAAGGGCTGTTTGCAGTGAAACACACACACAGAGGATCATGATTGTGAGATTTCGAACTCACTTTTTTCTTCCCTATGTTGTGTATAAATCTGTTGTGAAACTATTTGTTCTGTACCCATATTCAAGCAATTTAAGCTGTCTTCAAGTCTGTAGGATTATTACAAAACATATTTTACTGTGTTTTTTTTTAGATTGAAAAGATTTTTAAAAATGGTTGCCACCTTATTATTTTTCCCAATGGTACACGGAAGGAAGTAAGCTGTGATGGGAAGATTACCACTGTAACATTTTTCAATGGGGATGTAAAGCAAGTTTTGGAAGATCAGAGAGTGGTATGTATCCAGCAATCAGTACGTATTGTTCAAATATGGCCAGAAAATTGTGTTAATGTCACTTTTACAAATGCTTCTCAACAGATATATTATTATGCGGATGCCAAGACTACACACACTACTTATCCAACAGGTTTAGAGGTCCTGCACTTCTCAAATGGACAAATAGGTAAACTGTTATCACTTTCTGTCTTGTTCATACTTACTTGGAAACTGTACATATGGTTCTTAAATTGTCATCAATCTAAACCTTATAATGTAAAATATGTAGCTAATAGTACACTGAGCAGAACTTTTAAAACTATCTACAAAATAAGGCCTATGAACATTCTGACATATAACATTATGATTGCAGAAAAGCATTTTCCAGATGGAAGGAAAGAGATTGTGTTCCCTGATCAGACCATTAAGAATGTGTTCACAGATGGGCAAGAAGTGAACATTTTCCCTGATGGCACAACTGTCCGCATACAACAGTAAGGGTTTATTTTAATAATGTGAAATAATTCTGTGTTTAATCTGCATTTGGTTGTTATGCTTATGGGTAGTCTTTGAAATAGAAATAAACGATGTTGTTAGAAGGAAATACATGTTTGTTGTTTTGTGGAATTATAGAGGTGGAAGGTGGTCTAGGGCTAACTGGATAGCTCAGTGAGTTAGGTTTCTGGCTGGGAGTTGAATTTCCCACTGTGCATCCCAGTTGAGCCAGCCTATGTGGCTGTGGGCAAGTTGCAAAACCCCAGGATCCCCGAGATTGGTAAACCACTTGAGTACTCTTTCCTTAGGAAATCCTGGAAGGGGTCACCATAAGTCAGAACGGCCTCCGTGACACACTACAGTGGTGCCTCGCTTAACAATTGCCCCACATTATGTCAAATTTGCTTTACAACAATCTTTTTGCGATTGCAATTGCGGTCGCAAAATGATGGTCTAAATGGGGGAATTTCGCTTAGCAATGATTGGTTCCCTGCTTCGGGAACCGATTTTCGCTTTACGACGATCAAAAACAGCTGGTTGTCGGGTTTTCAAAATGGCCGCTGGGTGCTTAAAATAGCTCCCCGCTGTGCTTAGGGATGGATTCCTCGCTATACAGGCAGCAAAAATGGCCGCTGTAGGGGGGATCTTCCCTGGACGGTGAGTTTTTACCCCACTGAAACGCATTGAATGGGTTTCAATGCCTTTCAATGGGGGTTTTAAATTTCGCTTTACGATGTTTTCGCTTAACGGCAATTTTCCTGGAACGGATTATCATCGTTAAGCGAGACACCACAGTATTGTTTTTATTAAGATGGCTTAAGAATCTTCAGGCCCAATCCCTTGCCAAAATAAGAAACTTGCATCTATAGTATCCTTGACAGATGACCTTCCAGCCTGCTAAAAATCTCCAGTAAAGAATAATCCTCCACCTTCCAACATAGTTAATTCCACTGATGAATAGCTGTTTGGTAAATCTCTTTTGTGTACTTCTGATTCCATTAGCTCATGTCCTACTGTCCCACAGTGCAAAAAACAATCCATATGACAGCCCTTCCAAGTATTTAGAGATGGCTATTATGTCATCTCTTAGCTTTCTCTCTTCCATGCTAAGGGAAATGCAGCTTTCTCAATGTTTTTTTATGGAGCTTAATTTAGTTTCCAGACTTTTTACCATCTTGATTTCTGGACATGTTCTAGTTAGAGATGGGCATGAACTGGCAAAATGGCAGTTCATCTTGGTTCTTGGAAGTCCAGCTCACAGGAGGAGGGGACATGTGCAGAGGGCCCCCACCTGGCTGACAGGCTGGCTACTATTTTTTGATTATTTCTTTTAATTAGTTAGCATGTCAGTTGGTTGGAGACCATCTGCGCATATCTCCGCCTCTCAGTGAAGAGGTAGGGACATGCAGATAGCTCCTACATGACTGACAGGCCAGCTAATAAAAAAAAAATCAAAAATTATTATTTTTTAGTTCCACCTATCCCCTGAACTGAACTTATTACTACCTGCAATATGCTCTCTTCTTGGTTCCTAGTTATGCTTCTCTATATATCAGTAAAGAAAGAGTGGCACTGCAATGAATACTGAAGGCTGGTTTATGTATTTTGATTAAGGGATGGAAGTAAGGTTATAGAGTTTGGTAACGGTCAAAAGGAAATACATACAACTCACTTCAAGAGACGCGAGTATCCTGATGGCACCATCAAGACAGTGTATGCTGATGGACGCCAAGAAACCCAGTATGCTTCTGGTCGAGTAAGAATTAAAAACAAAGATGGTGATGTTATTATGGACACTCTGCGTTAAATTTCTACATTTTATGTCTTGTACATGTTTTCTTTGTAGCACTTGCCAAACACTTTCTTAATCTATTTTCCAGAAAAAGACTGTAAAATTTTTGCATTTGTGTATAGGCAATAAAATTGTTTCATGAATAAAGTTTTTAAAGTATTGAATGGCCCACTCTCATCTGGCCCATCCTACATGCAGATGGATCACAAATGTAATCCACACATCTTTCCTTGCTGAACAGTGACAACTGACCTCAATTTGTAATAATGCAAAAAAAGAAAGTCCTGTGCAAACCAAGCTTTTCCAATTAGTGGGATAACTCAATTTCCCAGGTTCCATGTAGTTCAAGAGAATGCGCAGCAGCATTGCTAAACATTGCATCATATAACAGGCCAGCAAAGTGGCATGCTGAAAAGGAGTGGTGCTTCACTTCATGGAATATAAAATAAATTGGCACAAAATAATTATTTTCTGATGCAAGAACAGCTATTTTTATTTAACATAAAGTACTTGAACAGTGTAACAAGAATTTAACATTTAAACATGTGAATACTTTATTCAAAAGAAATACTAGGAAAAACAAATGAGAAGGTGCTGGAATGTCTATGCAGTGATTATCTTCAACAAAGTTCTAAAGCTGAAAAAAAGCATTATAATGTAAACTACTGCAGTATGAGAAGTACTATGTACACTCCACTGTAAATGCTAATGTATGCAAATTTTTACTGCAGCAATGCCTTACAGTACCAACTTGCAGATTTAAGTTAGGATGGTTAAAACTTCAGATAGTGGACTGAAGTTCTTCAACATACCTAACAATTAGCTAGACTGTCTTGGGCTAACGAGGATTCAGTGGCTAGATGGTTGTACTTTGTCTGTACATTTTTTAAATGTTTCCCATATTAAAAAATTATTGCACACAGAAGGAAATTAACCAAACCCATTCCCTTTACTCCCACTCTGTTTTCTTGTTAATCCCTTTCACCACTATTCATTTACTTCCAAAATTGCTTCTCAAGAAAGTAGGGCATAGTATCAAAATGTATTCTCTGAGTGTATTTCTGAATTTGAATTCTGGGAATTGCAGCCCAGAAACCCAAATGAGCACAGCTATAGTTTTTGCACCCTCCCACAACGAGGTCTCACTGTGTGAACCACCGTCAGCCCCTCCAGTCTTCTTAGTGTTGATTTCTTTTTAAAAAAGAGAGGCTGCCACAGTGTTTTCTGGCAGTGATCCTTCTTTGGGAAGAGCCTAATACAGTGGGGCCCTCGATGTACACACGGCTCAGCGTGCGTACTTTTCAAGGTACGGACTTCTCCAGCCGCAAAATTTCCAATTGACTTGCGTCTGGAGAATTGACCTACGGACCAGAAGGGGGGGACGGG